ATGTGTTAATGAACAGGCAAAGATTATCAAGAAGTTTCGTGACACATCTGAAAAATGAAATAGTCAAACTGTTCAGGCTTACCCAGATGGTGGTCCAGAAAACCATTTTCACATCAACATCTCTTCAAAGCCTTAGGACACAGATCGAGTGAAAATATTCAATTGTAACTAAGGATATTGAAACTGAACTGCCTTTAGAATTAGAAGATTATTGTCAAAATAGAGTGCGTGAATTTGGTTTTACGTCGCATTTAGCATTATTCCAGCAATATCACGGCGGGGGGCACTAGAAATTGGCTTCACACATTGCATCATTGTGGGGAATCGAACCCGGGTCTTCGGCGTGACGAGCGAACACCTTAACCACTAAAGAACCGCCTTAAAGAACCCGGCGACTCGAGTATCCTCCACTGTTGAACAAATCAACATTGGAGGTGAGGTGAGGTAAAATTGGGTTTAACGTCGTGCTTGAGAATATTTCGCTCATATGACGACGTGCATGCGTGTATGTGTATGTGCGGCTGCTTGTACTAGCCCAGACTGAATCTGGTTTTATAGTGCTAGCCCACTGGAGATACCATGCCGCAGTGAAGCATGAATACCCCACTCAGACACATTATACTGACTCTGAGCTGACCAGTCCTTGTTGTACCCATTAATGCCGAGCGCCAGGCAGGGACCAACAAGTACCATATTTTAACGTCTTTGGTATGACGCGGTCGGATCGAACCCGCGACCTTCCGCTCTCTGGGCGGACGCTCTAACGACTAGCTAGGGGATAACAATATAAATAAGAGGCTGGAACACAAACTTCCCTAGCATAACAGTCATGCGTAGGGCTGTTGACAACAAGAGAATGTTTCATATTGAACACACTGCCATTATCATAGATACTACAAATGGCAATTACATACCTGGAAAATTTTTGAAAGAGGATTCTGTTCCCAAATCCCCCAAAGCCGGGCATATTCCAGAAAGCTCCAGGGTCCCGTGACTGAATGGGTTGAAGAAACCGTAATAAAGGAATATTTCAATAGATATCCCAAGGTGGCATGTTGTTCACCCTTTCCGGTTCAGTCAAGACCTCAATTCAGAAAACTGGTCGTAAATGACCTTGAACACAACATACGATTAAGCCAGTCCGTGGACAGAAGGAAGACCTTACAAGTAACGATACAATATTAAAGACTGTGAAATGTTGGACATGATACAAAGGGTCTCAGCTGTTTCTAGATCCTAATCCAGGGGAGATAATCAGCTTCAATGCACCACGGCGTAATAATAGACGGAAAAGGTTTGGTTTTAAGGCAAAGACACTATAAGAGATCATCAATGATGCAGTATACAGGATATTCGGGGAAGTTTTGAAGTGTCTGAATCTCTGTTGGGATGAAATATCATAGATGAGCTTAACAAAACATTGGAAATTGAGAACGGCAGGTTTCGGTATATTCTTCAACTCTGAAAGGTTCCAGTTCGGAATCGACAAGCTGGAACAAGTGCAGATCTCATTCACTCAGAAGATAACGTCATAGCTACCGTCATAAAATGGTAAAGCTTCGTCAAGACAGTCTTTAGAAGTGTCCTGTGAATTCTTGGACTTCTGTCCAAATGGATGCCAGGAAGGGTTAAAATTGGTCTTCAGCAACCCATGCTTCTCGTGAGAGGCGACTAACGGGATCGGGTGATCAGGCTCGCCGACTTGGTTGACACATCACCATATCAGCTCATGCTGTTGATCACTGGATTGTCTGGCCCAGACACGATTATCTACAGATCGCCGCCTGGAATATTGCTGTGCGTGGCGTCAAACAACAAACCAACTCACTCACATCCCATTTCAGGAACTAACCCAAGACGAAACTATGTTACATGGGACGATGGCGAAAAATAGAAACATTTGAAAACCTTAAAGTTTTGTGTAGTTAGTACAAGAACCTGTATAGAAACGTCGTGCTCTAGAATAAAAGAAGTTGTCATCCATATATACAGTTTGTTGTATCGTTTTCAAGTATAAAGTCGTTCATTCATACTTGAAAACGATACAAGAACCTGTATCGAAACATCGTGCTCTAGAATCAAAGAAGTTGTCAACCATATATACTTGTTCTGTCACACTACTAAGAATTTCAGCAGTTTGCTGAGATGCAAGCTCACAGATGCCACTACATTTTGCCAGAGCACCAAGGACCAAAAGACAAGCGGAGAAATCTATGAAAATTCTTTTACCAGACGGAGCCAATTTCTCATATTCAAAGCAGCACTTGAACATGGAAATAATGACAGGGTATCAGTCAAATCAGCAACCTAGGGTACCCGGTATGGAGTACTGATAAACGCAATGGCGGGACATACATTTGGATAAAAATGAGAATAGATTAAAGAGGAGAGAAAGATGGACGTAGGAGTAAACCAGGAGGAGCTGCACAGGGAACAGAGAATAGAAGGACAAGTCTGTTGTTGGACAATGAGTTGAGGTGAAATTGGGTTTTACGTCGTGCTGGAGAATATTTCGCTCATATGACGACGTGCATGCGTTTGTATGTGTATGTGCGGCTGCTTGTACTAGCCCAGACTAGAACTGGTTTTATAGTGCTAGCCCACTGAGATACCATGCCGCAGTGAAGCATGAATACCCCCACTCCAGACACATTATACTGACTCCGAGCCGACCAGTCCTTGTTGTACCCATTAATGCCTAGCGCCGGGCAGGGACCAACAAGTACCATATTTTAACGTCTTTTGGTATGACGCGGTCGGGGATCGAACCCGCGACCTTCCGCTCTCCGGGCGGACGCTCTAACCACTACACCACGGAGGCGGTCTGTTGGACAATGGACAGTAAAACATGGAATGAAGATGGTCAGATGAATCCCTGGTTGATGCAGTTTAGAAGACAGAGATTACATTAACTCGGCAATGGGTGTAACGAAGAAACTGATAACAAGCAAGGAGTGGTCGGTATAAATGTGATAATGTGAAAGTCAGCTGTAACAGGTTATCTGAAATAGACGAGCCTGACACAATACACACTATTGATACACATAGGGTGTTGCTCAAGACCAAGTGTCCATGGAAACCCTAAAACCTACATAGGACATGACCAAGTCAGAGAGGCAGGTGAACTGGCTTACTTGGGATGTGTTAATGAAAATCACAGCAACGCATAACAAAACGAAGAATGATGTCTTACCTTATATACCAAGAAATACAGTAACTCTCTGCTTTACAAGTGTTCTCAAGACAAATATATTCTTAAAAGTCACAACTTTGCAGATTCTGATACCTTTCGGTATGGACAAATCGTCAAAAATGCAAATTCAACTTATAAAGTTGAAAAATAACGCGATGAAAAAAATCGCGCGAAATCGGAGTTCAAACGTTTCACTAATTTCCCCCAGACTTTTCTGGGGAAAACGGGTTTCAACAGCTGGGCTGCGCTCATAGCACGTGCGCAAGTAAATAGGTTCGCGCAGCTTGGAAGCGGGTTGTCGGGTGAATACTCAGTGAAGGCTTTGGTGTGAGCTATTTTTCTAATGTTTTGTTGATATCTCACAGGCGAGAGCTTTTTATATGTTATGACAGTAAATTAACTGTTTATATAATTTCATTTGTCTATTTCACCACACGTTCTTCTTACCGAGACACTTTCTCAGTTCGATACTTAAAAGCAATGTCATTATTCAGCATTGGCAGAATTTCTAACTGTGTCGTTGTCACAGACAAAACTCAATATCTTGTTTTATTGACACCTGTGTGTCTGCCTGCCTGTCTGCTAATGACAATATTCAATACACAGCTGCTATCACTGATGCAATTTGAACTTAACACCAATCAGGCTATACACCATAAACAAAATGCATCGATTTATGACCCGAGTTCGGTCTCTGTCACATTATGTAATTACACAGACAGGCAGGTGTGATACTTGAAAACATGACATGTTATGATTTCAGTTGATTGCAAAATGTTATACACAAAAAATGAGCATGTATTTACAAAACCCAACATCTCTCTATATATATACACACAATTAGCCGTGAAGGCATCTGCAAATGAACCAGCCGTTACACTTGAGTGCACACCCACCCGCTCTGACTGGGTTCGGTATCCCGGCTGCTTCGTTTCTTGGGAAGTAAACCGAAGGACACAATTTTGCACTTTCGATTTGCGATTGTACGCTTATAATTTTGTTTATATATTTTTTCGTAACCAGCAATGTATGTTATATGTCAGGAATAAGTGATAATTGTGTTTTAATTATGTTTGATTTTTTGGTTGCATGTGACCTTTAAACGAAACAGAGAAGACATATACGTCCAGTTTGGATGTTTCTTTTTATGGGAGTATATATAATGTGAATAGAACGTGGTGATTGCTGAGCTGCAAGTTGTGCAGAAGGAACACTTAAGTTTAAGAGTAAATACCGCTGGGGAAAAACCACAGCTTGACAAAAGTATCGATGTGGGTTTGATGCGAACAGGAATGATGCAAGATGATGCTTCCAGACATTTTGATTAAACTTATTATCACATCTTTGGATGCCAAGGGCAGCGTCCAAAATGTGACGCAATCAAGCCAACCATGTTCGGTTTGTGCAAGTACCGGGACCAACAAGTACCATATTTCAACGTATTTTGGTATGACGCGGCCTGGGATCGAACCCGCGACCTTCCGCTCTCCGGGCGGACGCTCTAACCACTACACCACGGTGGCGGTCTAATAACCTGAAGTACCAAAGAAAGTAATTACCCGCTGTATTGGAACAACGTATATGTGATTAAAAGAGTTTTGTTTTTCACCCTCAACTGAATCGTCTACTTTGGTCGCTGGCAACGTCGCTGTTGAGGTATTTTGATAACACATACACAATGACAATACTTGTCAAAATATTTACCTTGACTTTTGAAAAAAACAAAAGTGTTATTTCTATTCGTACGTTAGTTCCACATATATTTATATCCTTTGCATAACCATAAACAGCACGGGTCCATATTAAAATGGCCTTGTACCTTGTGAATCAGGAAGTTCAGGTGAGAATGTCCCAAGCAATGGCCTTCACCTATTGTACCCACGTGGGGACTCAAACGGGTCTTTGTTAACCCATCAGTTAATGGGTACCCGGTCGTATGAGATGTTAATATGTCTCGCGACTTAGAAGGCAGCATCGGTTGTACGTTCGCAGGGAGCTGAAATTGAAACTCGAGAGCGCCCTGATCCATGGAACTTGTGTTGGGGGATAACGCAATAGAAGTATGATTATCATTATTATTATCATTATCATTAACTGGGCAATGTGTTCTGATTTGCAGGTGGTTTGGAAGAACCGCCGCGACAAATACAACCTTGAAACGACTGGAGGCAATAAATAGCATCCGCCAGTACTTCGCTCTGCTGTTTAATTCTGTGAGTAGTGAGTGAGTGAGTTTAGTTTTACGCCGCCCTCAGCAATATTCCAGCTATATGGCGGCGGTCTGTAAATAATCGAGTCTGGACCAGACAATTCAGTGATCAACAGCATGAGAATCGATCTGCGCAATGGGGAACCGATGACATGTGTCAACCAAGTCAGCGAGCCTGACCACCCGATCTCGTTAGTCGTCTCTTACGACAAGCATGGGTTACTGAAGATCAATATTCTAACCCGGATCTTCACGGGTCTATTCTGTGAGTACATGATGTGACACTGTTCGTAGAATTCTACCTTTAGGAAATTTGCGATTCTGAAGATCTTGGATTCGAACAAACGATCACTGGATTCTGTCACATCTAGGGGAGGCAACTCTGTACAGGAATTGTGGCATTTAATGGTCTCAGGTTGCTATTTATAGTGACAGCGTTCAGTATGTGACATGGCTACCTCTTTGGAAATCTCGAGCTTTTTCAAAAAAGCATGCATGAATAAGGAAACATTGAAGTAACGAGAAAATATTTGTAATTTTGGAGTTGGGTGTATAAAAAACTTGAACTAACGGGAAAAGGGTTGAAAAGTAAGAAAATAATCGAAGTAACGAGGATAATTCGAAATACGGAGTAAATAATTGAAATAACTAGAAAATATTCGAAGCAACGAGAAAAGTTCGTAACTTCGAGTATTTGAAATAACCTGAAACAAAAACTCTTGAGATGTCGAGATGATATTTACAATATTGAAATGATTGAAACAACAAGGAAATATTCGACAGAACAATAATCAAACCTCGACACCTCGAGATTTTTATATTATAAAATAATTGAAATTTCGAAAATATATTCGCAGTAACGAGAGAAAAAACTGGAAGTATAAAAATGAAAACCAAATAATCGCAACAAAGAGAAATTGCAAAAAAACAAAAACAATATCTACAGCAGTAGAACCATTACGCGTTTAAACTCCACCTTTAAAACCTCTGATAGTCATTATGATAAATCCTTAGACAGAACAAGTCGGTGCAACGATGTGAATTTCATTCATCAGAGTGCTTGATGATGCATTTTGACGGGCAATTATTTATACTTTCATGAAATGCGAGTTGTGTCAGATTGTGTCAGATCCTTATACGGACTACAAATCGTATTGTTAAGTCGCACCTGGCAAGACCAGGGCCTCCTTTCACAAAGCACTAAGGTGATCGTAAGTCACGAAGGTAACCTTAGTGTAATGTCAAAGAATGGGAGTTAAGGTTAACCTGAGTAACGGTTGCTTTGTGAATAAAGCCCCTGTTCACAATGATGGCTTCAGTTTGGCCACCATATACAAGCGAAGTCATCTGAAATTGCTGTCACTAAAATTGCCACCACTCAATTTCATAGCATAACATAAAAATACATAAGAAATATTACGTTATTATTTAATCGCTGACGTATGACACTTGTAGTCATAGTAGTGAGTGTGTATTTTTCAATTCCAAATAGAGAAATTTCGATAATTCTAAAACGATCGGAATATGACTCAAATCGTATCGAATGGTATCGATCATAAAGTTGCATCCTGTTAAACCAGTCGGGGTTTTGTATGGAACCCTAAACTTGTTTCGTTGCTGCGTCTTTGCGCGTTTTAACTCTTTTTTAAACATCTCAGTTGGGGCAACAATACGACCTTGTTCAAGACTGTCGCTGTTTCACCCTTTGGATGGATAAAAATTATCAACTTTGGTTAATTGTGACACATTTTTGTAAGGGCAGCAAAACGGCCATGTCCCTTCTAGGATTCCATAGTTTCGAGTTTATGTATCGTAACATTTAGCGACAATGTTCAGCATGTACATTCTATTTCAGGTGAAGCAAAGGTTCACGAGTGCTTCTCCCCGATATAACATCAAGCTTGTTGGCGTTGTCATTGAGGTAAATATGTCGTTTTAACAAAACTAATCATATATCAAAACACTGACTGCAGTATTTGTTTGTAGTTACATAGAAATGAATACTTGATAGGTATTGGTAAACTTGATGCAAGGTACTCCTTGCCATCTGAAAGCACCAAGAAACCGACCTGTAGGGTAAGGTAACACATGACATATATATATATATATATATAGGAAGAACTCCAGTGAGTGAGTGAGTGGGTTTTGCGCCGCTTTTTGTAATTCTCCAGCAACATCACGGCGGGGGACACCAGAAATGGGTTTCACACATTGTACCAATGGGGAATCAAACCAGGATCTTCGCTATAACGAGCGAACGCTTTAACCACTAGGCTAAAAGACCAAACGTGGTGGAGATAGAAAGATTGGTTGTTGTATCATAAGTCTGTAAAAGATGGTACTTATTGTTTCTCTGTCTGGTGCTCTGTATCAAGAGGAGTACTGGTCAGCTCAGAGTACGTTTACTGTTTCTCGCTTGCTGAGACGGGCGCTGGGGGAGCCTAGTGGTTAAAGCATTCGCTCGTCACGCCAAAGACCCGGGTTCGATTCCCTACATGGATTCAATGTGTGAAACCCATTTCTGGTGTCCCCTGCAGTGATATTGCTGGAATATTGCTCACTCGATTGCTGAGGGAAGTGTGGCAGGTCAAAGAGAAATCTGTCTCATGCATTAATATATTTTTCTAGCACTATCTTGGACAATATATATATTTCGATAACCGCTCCCCCGAATATTCAATTGGCGGACACTTGCGCCAAGTCCCATGATACCCGTGATGGCACAGGTTTGAATTGATCTTCAGCAACCCATGCGTGTCGTAAGGGGCACCCAGGACTTTGTTGACACACATCATCCTAATAGCGTAAGCCGTTGCTCATGCTGTTGATCACGGGATTAAATACAGACCGCCTCCAGCAGGAACAGACGCAGACATGTTGCGTTTTGGCAAATGTTTTCTCCTTGGGTTGAAATCTGTACCAGCGTTTTTTGTATTTTATACAGTTATTTTAAACGTGATAACTTTCTTTTGCCAGGTAGTTTAGTTACACTTGTTGTGAACTTCAATACAAAACCAAAAGAAGCAGAAATATTAGAGAAATTCATTTTTGTTCGTTGTCGGTAGGGGAGATGACATCGTGGGGCAATGTACTCGGGTAATGGTACCAAGGGCCTGTATTGGTGTTGCTAAGTTCGATGCCGACGGTGATGTAGGGGATAGGGATGACTATTGAGGGGGAACAAAACAAGCGATAGTCTATTGCGAACAACTACTGCAATATCATTGCAATAGTTATTTTTCTCCTTGAATTGTCTCATTTGAAATCATTTCCCAAATGAATGTATAGTTTATATGAATTAAAAACAAGTTGAAGTAGTTTCAGTCTCTTTTAATGAGTGACAAGGAACTTGAAACCCAGATCAGGTAAACAGTTAAAACATACTCAGTGAATCTGCAAGTCCGCACCCAAACAATACAAAAATACAAAAAAACATCATTATTTAATAAAAATAAGGTCAATTCGTCGCCTGAAAGTACTAAGTCACAAAAACCTATTTTCGAGAAATTCGATCTTGAAGTTTAGGACTACAATATCTTCTGAACTATTCTATCAAATTCTTTCAAATTTTAGATAGAACACTTGACCTAAGAACATCGTGGTTTTTCTCAAAACCAAAGTGTTCTAAGTGTCAAAAAACACAGCTAAAACTCAGCTTTATTATTATCATATCGATATTTGATTGTTATTTCTTTTTTCCCAAGGTTGTATTTTTATCGTTTAAACCTGTTTTACTTTCATAAGGACTATATTTAATTAAACAAAGCAGAAATAAGAACAGAGTTAAAATGTTCCATTTCCATGATGACAATCACTTCAAAATTGGTAAATCTCAATGTCACGTGATCAAATTGTGCTTGCTCATTGGTCAATTGATAACTTAGAACACTCGAAAATTAACAACATGTGATTTTTCATGGAGATAGAACAAAGTTTGTGTTTGAAAAAACACTTTCAAAGCTAGATAGCACTGTAAAAAGGTGCTAGAGTAATAGATTATGCCCTAAAACCTACCCTGAGCATACTAACTCTAATTTTGTCAAAAGTGGACTTAGAACACACTGGTTTTCAGGCGACGAATTACTAAACTATCGATAGTCACACATACTACCGATGCATCGGTAGATTTTCGTTTCTACCATCGATTAATTGCTATCGGAGACTCAACAATTGCAATCCATCGATAGTTTGATGCATCGTTACAGCCCTAGTAGGGCATGTTGACTCGAATTATGTCATAGCATCCAACTGCGTAGATCGATGCTCGTTGGTTTTGGTCTTGACCGGATTATTCACAGACCGTTGTCATATCTCCGGAATATTGTTCCGTGCAGCGATAAATAATAAACAAATAAATAAACAAACACACAATTTATTCACACATTCATTTTGCTTACTCACTCACTCAATTTGTCTCCCCAGGATGCACGTGAGAGTGAATGGTTGACACGTGTCCGGGAGATCCAGGGGAACGACACGAGACTGGACGGTCAGCTGATGTTGGACGCAATCTGGAACTGGACAAGAAACGCAACCGACTTTCCGCAGAACGACGTCATCGTTGCCTACGAATCGTACGTAAATTTCGCAAGTTTGTCCTTTCAGGAAACAGGAAACACTCACATACCATACTGTATCAAGAAAAATGTTAAATCCGATAAAGGTATACCACCTACGAACACAGACACTGTTCTGACAGACAATGGTTCATAAGCGAGACAATTGTGGGATTCAAACTCCTAAACCACCGGAACCTGACACTGTCAAGGGACGTAACTCACACCGTTACGTTGATGTTATGACATCTCCCTTAGGCAGCACATATACCGTGGTTTTGGGTGTGAGTATTTGACCGATAACGATGTTTCGAGGGTTCGAGTATATTTCTCCCACCAAATATATATATATACATATTATATTTTGTCCCACCAAAACCACCTTCGTATATCTCACCAAAATGGTAAATATATGATTTGCTCATATATTCTTTACTTTCCTCTGACAATAATCTCATAAGCAGTGATGTAACTTTACAACTGCCCAAATCAGCATTAAACCCGACTCACTCACTCACTCATACAACTAAAACCCTCCGCGTTTTAAACCGGATTCCCAGGGGCGGAAGGTGGCGGGTTTGAATCCCTGACTGTGTCCAGCCAATGATGGTATTTCTTGTTACCTTGGCGCTCATAAATAGTGGACAAAATAAGGACTGGTGGGCTGGGTGTCAGTATAGGACCCGTAAGTAGGTCACGGCACTTCGCGAGACCTTAGTTCTTCCGGTGACAAACAACTTTTCATACCTTTGCGAATGGTTGCCATTTAGGAACCGAATCCTTGCAGGAATAACAAATTTCCGATCTAGCCATCTCCAAATTAGCCAACTGTTACGACTGTCAACAGCTGTGACAGCCAAGCATGGTGGTACACTTGGTCCGGTCTAGTAAAGTCATATTTGGCGTTCGCGCAATTTCGAAATCTTGAATATACGCTTGTCACCACTCTCCTACCCAGAGTTCCATGCGGCCAGCCAGCATAGTACCTCTGCCACAGGCCAGAAAGATGTGGCGATTCGCCACCGTCCTTTCAATATAATGTACATAATTCCTAACTCTTTTATTTTTGACGAGTCTACACATCTAATTAAACATCTTTGATAGAATGGTTTAGTTTCACTGAGAAAATATCCTAAAACGTGTAACACTATTTCGATTTGCGGAGCGATCCTTTGTTTACATAGGTTGTACGGCTCCACGTGCTGTCATCGAAGCTGATGGAGAGCAAACAATGCAGCCAGTTTGATATCTAAATATGTACTGTCACAAATCTTACTGTCGTAGTTGGGGAAGAATATATAACAATGTAAAACATTGTGAAGGGCGCGCCGAAAACTTGCGTAAGGCCGGTCTCTTGTTATTATGAATATGCGCGTTTGTTTACAAATAAGAGAAACAGTCCGGTCACGTGATATGCAAAATAGCCCGTGACAGTGATGTTATGCTAGGTCATCACTGCGCCGGAGTGTGGCTTGTCACCGGAAATCTAATACCAGAAGTAAACTGGGCCCCGACTCGCATATCGTAATTTGGCGCCCGCAATGGGAGCCTGGAACCAGCTTAGTACCGGAAGTAGCACCTCGCGAGACTTACCGGCCCTATACTGTATCAGAGAGGGATAACCGTGTTAAGCATGGCATCTAAGCATTATAAAACTGGTCTGTTGTTGTGTAAGCGCAATAATCTTGAAACGAGGTAATTCTGGTTTTATCCCACTTTACCTCACCTCATTTTCATACCACCATGTATCCTTAGGTCTTAGCTTTTCGTCACCAGGTTGTCCCTCTACTCGTCTCAAGAGAACAATTTTCCACCAGGTAAGCGGAGATTATATTTATTTTCATTGAAACCTCTGTTAATCGAAGACCCGTGAAAGTTAGAAGGAACCTTCAGTAACCCATGCTTGTCGTAAGAGGCGACTATAGCGATGTCGGGTGGTCAGGCTCGCTGGCTTGGTTGACACATGTCATCGGTTCCAATTGCGCAGGTCGATGCTCATGCTGTTAATCACTGGATTGTCTGGTCCAGACTCGATTATTTACAGACCGCCGCCATATATCTGGAATATTGCTGAGTGCGGCGTAAAACTAGACTCACTCACTCTCTGTTATTCGGTTCCGTAACCAGCAAAGTGGACCACGGGGTCGAGTGGTCAACCTCGCTGACTTCGTTGTCATCTTATCCCAGTTGCATGGATCGATGCTTATGATGTTGATCACTGGATTGTCTGGTCCAGATTAGATTATTTACAGACGCCACGTAGCTGGGGATATTGCTGAGTGCAGCGTTAAACAAACAAGCAAACAAACAACCGTCATATATCCGTGTTGTTTGATGAAAAAGCTAATTCATCATGTTATTTTGTGATGATTGGTTTTACTTTTGAAAGGAGAAAGTGCGTGATTGCGAAAGTGAGCACTGTTTTAGCAAGGAAACTGTTTCTGATCAGTTAACATACCGTCGTCATGGCGAGTCCGTCATCCGGAAATTCGTTTATATGATTCTTAGAATTAAGTTCGGTAATCTCGTAAATACCGCCGTCATATGACTGTCTTAAATCTCGTGAATACTGTCTTTGAATACCGCCATCATATGACTGTCTTAAATCTCGTGAATACCGCCATCATATGACTGTCTTAAATCTCGCGAATACCGCCATCATATGACTGTCTTAAATCTCGTGAATACCGCCATCATATGACTGTCTTAAATCTCGTGAATACCGCCATCATATGACTGTCTTAAACTGTCTTAAATCTCGTGAATACCGCCATCATATGACTGTCTTAAATCTCGCGAATACCGCCATCATATGACTGTCTTAAATCTCGTGAATACCGCCATCATATGACTGTCTTAAATCTCGTGAATACCGCCATCATATGACTGTCTTAAATTCGCAAATAATCATATCGTGAATACCGCTGTCATCACTGTCTTAAGTCTCGTGAATACCGCCATCATATGACTGTAAATGTCGGAATCATATGACTGTCTTAAATCTCGTGAATACCGATATCATATGACTGTCTTAAATCTCGTGAATACCGCCATCATATGACTGTCTTAAATCTCGTGAATACCGCCATCATATGACTGTCTTAAATTTCGTGAATATCGCCATCATATGACTGTCTTAAATCTTGAAAATCTCGTGAATACCGCCATCATATGACTGTCTTAAATCTCGCGAATACCGCCAACATATGACTGTCTTAAATTTCGTGAATATCGCCGTCAAATGGCTGTTGAAAACTCGTATTTACCACCCTCATATGACTTTTTAAATCTCTTTTTTTCACCACCGTCAGATTACAGAATGAAACGTTGACCCGGTGGCTAAGAACACCATTTCAATTCTTTAAAAAATAAAAAACAACTATGATCGTGTACATGCTTATGCTGATACATTGTGATTATTTGTTATATTTGTCTCACAATGTTATCCATTCTTTTTCAGATTTTTCCTACAACTCAACCATATGTAGGGAGGATGCCAAACATGTCATCCTCATCACCGTCACCGACGTCTTTGCCCTCGACATGCTGTACACGACGCACGGTCTCGGACACGCGTACTAAATTTATCTCCTTACATACACATGAGTGTTCCTGGCTTGTCATAAACAACACGTCTCAAGGCGTGATATTCTTTGAAGTGCTAGGATAGGTCTCGTCTAAAGGTTACAGCGTTCCGAGGGGCGGTGCGGGTGGCCTATGGAGAAAGTGTTCCCTGATCACTCAATGTGTGAAGCCCCGGTGGCCCCGGCCGTGATATTGCTGTAATATTGCTAGTAGCGCCGTAAAACTCTACTCACCTAGTAGCCTAGAGGTTAAATTGTCACGCTGAAGACCTGCGTTCTATTCCCCATATGGGTACAATGTGTGAAGCCGCCCATTTCTGGTGCTCACACACACACACCCCACCCTACACACGCGCGCGCACACACACACGTGATATTGAGATTGCTGGAATAGTGCTAAATGCGGCGTAAAACCATACTCACTCACTAACTCACTCGTTAAGCCGAAGACCCATGTTCAATTCCGCACATTGGTTCAAAGCATAAAGCCCATTGCGGGGCGGTGGGGTAGCCTAGTGGTTAAAGCGTTGGCTCGTCACGCCGAAGACCCGGGTTCGAATCCCCACATGGGTACAATGTGTGAAGCCCATTTCTGGTGTCCCCCGCCGTGATATTGCTGGAATATTGCTAAAAGCGGCGTAAAACTAAACTCAGGCAGCCATTGCCGGTGTCTACCGCCGTATACTGGATGTAATGTTGCTAAACGCGGCGTAAAACAATGCCCATTCATCTATGCTAGTCTTACGGTGCGTTTTGATGTGACCTGCGTGTCAACGTACCTCAACAGTGTTGATAGCTTCTCATGATATCAACCACCAGATCGTGAGTTCAAGGCTAGTTTATTTACAGGAAATGGCGGCATTAAACAAACAAAACTATGACAAGCACTCTCAGATGTATATTACATGTGTGAGTATGGGTGAGTGAAACAACATGTTTGACTCGCCTCGATCTTGCGAAAAATCAGCCTTGACATTAAATCGTGGCTCCGCGTGACACCCCAAGCCAATATCTCTCCTATCGTTTTTGGTAAAATTACAAGTAAAGTTGTGTTCTTTTCATAAGCTGTTGCAGTGACTGTACTACTCTTTCCGTTCCCCGTCCCCCTCCAATAAGGATGTCTCTGTGTGTCCATCTCAATTCTCACTACTCCAATCTCTTCCACCCCATCCTCGCTGTTTCGATTTCTATTCTCAATCTTCTTCTCACTTCCCCACTCTCTTTCCTCCTCTCTCTGTTTCTCTGTGTCTATTTGTATTCTCAATCTCTCTCTCTCTCTGTCTCTCTCTGTCTCTATCCCCACTCTCTTCTGTTTCTCAATATCTTCCTCTATTTTCAGTCACCCTCTCTTTCCACCACTCTCTCTTCCCATGTGTGTTTCTCAGTGTCTCTATTCACAATCTCCTCGCCTCAACACTCTCTCTCTCTCTCCCACTCTCTCTTTATCTCATATCTGTTTCTCACTGTCTATTTCCATTCTCAATCTCCCTCTCTCTTCTGTTTCTCACTGTCTATTTCCATTCTCAATCTCCCTCTCTCTTCTGTTTCTCAGTGTCTATTTCTATACTCAAACATTCCGCTCTAACTCCACTCTCTATTCCCAGTGTCTGTCTCAATCCTCCCCTCTCTTCCGCTCTCGTCTCCTTCAACACCTCGTCTCTACGTCTACCTGTTTGTGTCTTTACCAACCTTCTACCCCTCTCGCTATCTTCCTTTATCATCAACCCATCTCATTGCCAACCCTCTCCCCCTTCAGTCCATCTCTCCCCTACTTCGTCTTTCTCTCTTATCTCTGGACTTCAGTCTAATTGAATACTTCCTCTCAGTCTAGGAGCTGAGGACGATGGGCCACCCAACAACTGTTCGAGTGAGGATCACTACATCATGGCCCGTGATTACACCAAGTTCCACCAGCTCGGCACTAACAACCCATACTACTTCTCCAATTGTTCTCTCCAGTCTATGGACCAATACATAGACACTTTGATAGGGTAGGTTGTCGGAATGATATACTGTGAGCCATTGTACAGCAAACTTTATCTCACGTTTCGAATTCCAGGTTGAAAAGTTCGTTAAAGTCCGATCCTTGCAGCATCTCAAAGAGAGTTTTTGTGTGTTTGTTATTTAACGCCGCACTCAGCAGTATTCCAGCCATGTGGCGGCGGTTTGTAAATAATCGAGTTTGGACCAGACAATCCAATGATCAAACGTATAAGCATTGATCTGCTCAATTGGGATACGAGGACATGTGTTAACAAAGTCAGCGAGCCTGACCACCCGATCCCGTTAGTCGCCTCACGACAAGCATGGGTTACTGAAGACCAATTCTAACCCGGATCTTCACGGGCGGGCAGTGTTGTAACTGACACGTGCGTCAGTGGAGCCTACAACAGTCACTACACGTATTGCCGTTCCATGTTGCCATAGGAGGTGTAAAACCATGACCCAACACGCGCCTGTTGCCATGGGAGGTGTAAAACCATGACCCAACACTCGCCTGTTGCCATGGGAGGTGTAAAACCATGACCCAACACTCGCCTTTTGCCATAGGATGTGTGTAAAACCATGACCCAACACTCGCCTGTTGCCATAGGAGGTGTAAAACCATGACCCAACACTCGCCTGTTGCCATAGGAGGTGTAAAACCATGACCCAACACCTCGCCTGTTGCCATAGGAGGTGTAAAACCATGACCAAACACTCGCCTGTTGTCATAGGAGGTGTAAAACCATGACCCAACACTCGCCTGTTGCCATAGGAGGTGTAAAACCATGACCCAACACTCGCCTGTTGCCATAGGAGGTGTAAAACCATGACCCAACACTCGCCTTTTGCCATAGGGAGGTGTAAAACCATGGCCAAACACTTGCCTGTTGCCATAGGAGGTGTAAAACCATGACCCAACACTCGCTTGTTGCCATAGGAGGTGTAAAACCATGATCCAACACTCGCCTGGTCCGTCGATGGTCGCTAAGTGAAGCAGTGAGACGTCAGGCGACCGCGAGGACCACACATAACCAACAACTACTTCTACAACAGCTTCAACAGCAGCAACAACAACAACTACTACTACTACAGCTACAACTACTATTATTACTACAACAACTACGACTATTTCAACAGCAACTACTACTACTACAACAATTACTTATACAACTACAACGACTAATACAACTACAACTACTACTACAACAGCTTCAACAGCAACAATACACTTGTTCAGCTGGACTTGTTCAGCATGTCACAGATCCAACTCATGTTCGCGGAAGTACACTGGATTTCATCGTCACAAGAACGGTGAACTTGACATGGAGATCACTGGAACTGATCTTTCATTTTACCATCATGGCAAAACTAAGTTTTTCAACACCTAGGAGACCACGCCAAGAACTATCATGTCGGAAATGGAGGCAAATACGTCTACCAGATTTCAAGACTGCTCTCAGCACAGTTCTAAGTGGTTACTCGGAGCTAAGTGTTGACACCTGTGCTCGACAATATTATACTGGGTTCAGAACTGTCGTTGATGAATAGGCTCCTTTAATGAAACGTGTTGTGACAGCCCACAGAAACGAATCATGGTATAATGATGACATTAGAGCTGCAAAACAGTGTGGTCGTCAGTTAGAACGACAAATGCGTTCGTCTACCTTAACAGTGTTCAAGGAGATGCATTCTGCCCAACAAAATGTGGTCAACATTCTTTGTCAACAAGGCAAAGAAGACATTCTTCAACGATGCAGTTCTAGAACTCTTAAGGTCACAACGATCTTTAGCGGTTGTGTGATAGGCTTTATTCAAGAATAAGTCGAAATCAAACTCCCAAACTCAAACTCAAAAGAAGAGATGGTGAATGCGTTTTCCAAGTTCTTCACAGAGAAGATACAAATTCTTCGTTTCAGTCTTGAAAGTACTTGTGGGACATCTGAGACTTCAAGTACCAATCACAACTCAACAGATCACCTTCCCCTGTCCAGCTTCTCTCAAACCAGTGAGATGGAGATCAGGAAGTTTATTTCACAGTGTCCAAACAAATCCTACAGCCTGGACCCGTCACCCACGTGGCTGCATAAGGACTGTTTTGACGAGCTGGTCCCTGTGGATCACCCATTTAGTTAATCAATCCTTTCTTTGAAGCAACCGTTCCTGAAGTATTCTAAAAGGCCCTTGTCTCGCCTTTACTGAAAAAGCACTACTTGATGCTAGTATCATAAGAACTATAGACCTATGTGTAACCTGTCGTTTGTTTCTGAAAGTCCTTGAGGGTATAGTTGCTTCACAAGTCAACCAGCTTTTGATCAGGTCAGGGAATGCTGAAGTTCTCATGTCAGCCTACAGGAAAGGCCATAGTACTGAGACTGTCCTTGTTCGCGTTCAGAACGATCTCCTACAGGCAGTCGACAAGGATGGTGCAGCAGTGTTAGTACTCCTGGATTCAAGCGCTGCTTTTGACACCATTGATCAGGAAAGACTCCTCAATACCCTCAGCAGAGATTTGGTGTTACTGTCGATGCACTATTCTGGCTGAAATCCTATCTGATAGGTCGATACCAATGTGTCGATACCAATGTGTCGATGTAGATCTGAGATGACCGAGCTTTTAGGGCGGCGTACCCCAGGGTTCCGTGCTAGGACCAATACTTTTACAATTTACACCTCCCCACGTGGTGATGTTGCCCATTCATACCGTCTCACCTTCCATCTTTATGCTGACGACACACAGTTATACCTGTCCTTCAAGCCCAACGACAATACATTTTGAAGAATGACTGCCGGTATCGAAGAAACCAAATCTTGGATGATGACAAGAAACCTTCTTAAACTAAATGAGGAAAAACTGAATTCCTGGTAATAACATCAAAATTCAACAGACCTAAACTGTCACTTCCTGAGTTCAAAGTGTCAACCAGTATCATCGACCCTAGCCAGGAAGCCAGGAATCTTGGTGTCATATTCGACTCTACACTCAGCGCCGAGTCTCATGTCAGCAAAGTCTACCAGCGAGCCTATATGAACATCAGGAACATCAGTCTCATCTTGACTACTGCAATTCACTCCTTTATGGCCTCCCAAATCGTCTCATCAACAAACTCCGAAAAGTCCAGAATTCCGCTGCACGATTAGTCAAGAGAATTAGAAAATCAGACCACATCACTCCTGTACTGTAGAATCTACACTGGCATAAGATTGTAGACAGAATCAAGTTCAAAACACTGACTCTAACTTTCCGTGGATACCACTCTGAGGCACCTCACTATCTCAACGAACTTATTCACAAATACCAACGTGCAAGATCTTTGCAATCCGATAGCTAACTCCTACTGACGGTTCCCTCCACCCGAACATCTTTTGGAAATAGAAGCTTCCAAATCGTATTACGATCTTCCCAGAACATAGAAACATTCTAATCACACCTGAAAACCTACCTCTTCACCTCATGTTACGCCTGAACTGCAAACTCTCCGTGTATATAGACTCATTGTTGTACATATTCCCCAGGACAGTTCATTGCCCAAAAGCGCTTTTGAGCAGTTTAACAGAACTGGAAATAAGCGCTTATATAAATATATACTTATTATTATTATAACTACTACTACTACAACTACGACAACTACTAAGACTACTAATATTACCACTACTACTACTACTACTACTACTTCTACTACTACTACTACTACTACTACTACAGCTACAACTACTATTATTACTACAACAACTACTACTATTTCAACAGCCACTACTACTACAACAATTCCTTATACAACTACAACGACTACTACACTACTACTACAGTAGCTTACAGCAACAACATCAACTTCTACAAAAACTAGTCTGCTACTACTACTACGACAGCTAATATTATTACTACAACTACTACTACAGCTACTTATACAACTACTATTACTACTACTACAACTACTGCTGCTGCTACTACTACTACTATAGCTGCTGCTGCTACTACATAGCTACTTATACAACTACTATAACTACTGTTACTACTACTACTACAACTACTCCACCAGTAATACCACCATCCACTAAGCCATCTTTCACGACCAAACCATCTTCGTTCAGACCTAACTTCAACACAATACTACCTCACGGCCTGTACCATAGAATCACTATAACTGATAATTTGCAAGTGTTGATTTCTAAAAAAAAGGTAACGCATATATACATAATTTTTTTTTTTTTTGTTCAGAACTTCTGTGTGGTCTCGATCCTGTTTCCTGGAGACATTGCCAGATATTGACGCTCCCAACGTCACAGACGTCATGCCAGGGGAGGTGTACGACCCAGACGAACAATGCCGTCTCCTCTACGGCGTACAATCATACTACTGCTTTGTACGTTATTTCAGAAAGTCTGTGTGACTGGACAATCGACTTTCCATTAGGTTATTTCGGTAATTTCGATGATTTTAAAGGCAAAGTGAGTTAAACTTTGTGCCATGATACTTACAAACACACTTTCATTCATTTACAACCTACAAAACACAAATTTTGAGCCAAAGCAGATATTCTCGCCTACGGGCGAGATATTTTGATAATGCTTTAAATTAGTCTAATCGAGTCAAAATGAGTTAAATTTCGAGTTATGATACTTTTTAAACACGCTTTCATTTTTCATCCTAAGCATACATTCATGATAACTGCATGTTAAATTTTTACAATCCTTTGTCAGAAACTAGATACAGAGAGAGAGTTCAGATTTATGCAGGGACCATATACACACATGCACGCACACACTCACACACACACACACGTACGCACGGACACACACAACTCCTCGTGTAGACAAACTATGTATCGTTCCAAACCTGGGGACGGTGGGGTAGCCAAGTGGTTAAAGCGTTGGCTCGTCACGCCGGAGACCTGGGTTCGATTCCCCACAATGTATGAAGCCCATTTCTGGTGTCTTCCGCCGTAATATTGCCGGAATATTGCTAAAAGCGGCTTCAAATCATACTCACATACTCTTTCAGAATGACGCTGGTTTATCTCACCGTGACATATGCAAGCGCATGCCGTGCTACGGTCCCTCCCAAGGCCAGTGTTTCTATTCCTACGCAGCGGAAGGGACGACCTGCGGAAACAAAAAGGTAAATATACTGAGGGAAAAAAGTAACGGGACAACACTTCATCGCACAGTATTATACAAACGCTGTTAAGAAACAAACTTGTATTTTCATATGTTCCTTTATTTGTTTGTTTTAACTGGCATTTCCCAGTTTTGACACTGTATTCGAGTGCTAATACCCTTCCTTTTCAAACCTACTTCACCGCAACTATATATTAATGATCAAATTTTCGCACAGTGCAATACAAAATTTGCAAAGGAAACTCAGAAGAAAACACAGGACCACTACTGGCCAACAAGGATAAGTTGGACCGGCGCAGAGAACACGTTTTCTAGAAGTAGGCGGTGCACGGCAATGAGCAAACCCATTTGGTTTGTGAAACGTAGAGCAGATGTAGGATAGTGCACGTGCATTACATGTCTATGAAATTGATTCCGCGCGTAGCTGCACACGCCTTGCTCATAAGACTCTCACTTCGGTGTAGTAAGTCGCACTACACTTGATCGCGGACAACCTGGGGCCCTTTCGCTACCAATGGCAAGTGCCAGTGGGCGGCACTCATACATGCTAATACGGGTCAATTGTCAGGTTAGTGCTCAACTTATCCTTGTTTGCCAGTGGTACTTTCATGTGTTCCCTTATTTGATTTCCTCAGTATACATCAAATGCTAGCCTTTCCAGTTTCTCTACAAAGAGAGACGCCATGTACTATAACATGCTGCCTACCCTGGCAGACTATTGGATCATTTACTGTTAGAGGCCAGCATAAGCCACTTGAAGGCACCCCAAGGTCTTTGATATTTGTCAAAGTTGGGGCGTCGCTCAGCACAATAGTGAGTGAGTATGGTGTTACGCCGCTTTTAGCAACATGCCAGCAACATTACGGCGGCGGACACCACATGGGTTCCACATATTGTACTCATGTGGGGAATCGACCACGGGTGTTTGGCATGACGAGGGAACGCTTTACCACTGGGCTACCCCACCGTCCCCTCTCAACACAAAATAGGAACGCTGTCAGTGTGGATCCAGTTTTTCTTAAATACCTTCGATAAGGTCATTTAGCTGCTAGGAATGCTTTAGTCTGAGAAGTCGACTTCAGTCACTCTGAATAACGTACTGGACGGAGTGAGTCCGAGAAATTAGTGCCTTTCCAAATCATTATTCAATACAGAATTGAGATAAACATGATTCTTACACACATCTTACCGAAAGTGATTGATACAAGACAAATCTTATGGATAACAACTTCTTGGTGTATTTTACACAACGTTTCTGGGCTAGTTCTTGCCCCTTCGTCAGGAGGAGGATTTAATTAAAGCCCACACAAAGATTTCTCCGATCACGTAAATCAAATCGTGCTTTGAAGTTGTAACTAAAATTGAATATATCTCTCACACATATCCCAGCCTTAGAACGGCCCTAAAAGGCTTCCGGACCAGCCGGCCAATCCAAGAATATATAATCCTTCTCCTACTCCTCCTCCTCCTCATCACAATCATTTACTTTTTGAAACTGGACAATGCGTATCTTGAAAGTAAAAATACGATTGTCCCTTAAGGTGTTGATGCTAGGGCAGTGAGGTAGCCTAGCGGTTAAAGCGTTCGCTCGTTATGCCAAAGACCCGGGTTCGATTCCCGACATGGATACATACAATGTATGAAGCCCATGTCTGGTGTCCCCCACCGTAATATTGCTGGAATATTGCTAAAAGCGGCGTGAAACGTTAACGTTAGAACAAGACTGAGACAACGTTATACGTTGAGGCTGATGGAAACGCATGATGTTACATGTGTTTTCAGTGGTGTCAGCAACAGCAGTTCCTGCTACTGAAGAAGATATTTCCACTACACGTTGAGGTTCTGATGCGAATTTATATATAAGCGGTCATTCGACGAAACCCAAATGATGTTCTAAACATGTGATTTTTTCAGTGGTGTCAGCACGGAGATTGCCATGACAAGAGGTAAAAGTCCCTTTGAACCGCTTACCAGCAGTCTAAAATATTCCTGCTACTGATGGTAAGATATTTCCAGTCACAGATCTAAAGTATTGGGTCACAAATATTAGATATTTACTCACCAGTTCTTGACATACAGTATACTGAATGAAGGTTCTTTACAATGACAAATGTTGAATACAGACGAGCAGGACGGTCTTGAATTTTGAGCAAATTAACGACAGATGTGTATAACTCCAGTCATGTGAAAAGTCCGTGATTCCGGCGCACAACACAACACCAGCCTCTATGACAGCGAAACCCAAACTTCCACTCAGAACCATTTTCTCGAACATACGTATCAAAACAAAATTTAAACAATGAGCTATCAACAAGGGTACCGCTAAGATTTGGGAACATACATGATACAAGATAAAGCACTCAAAACTTTAAACATTGTGGCCCATAATAAAGCACTTTATTGATATTAATACAAAAACAGCTGTAAAACTGCAATGTGGGGAATTCAAAGCGAAAATAGTAAGTTTTTTAGAAAAATGTCCGTACACTTGCACTCTCAAAGAGGCTCTTCGTCAAATTAATGTTCTCAGTGAGTACCGTCAAGGGAGTTAACCAACAGTAAAAGTCACATTTCTTTCCTTGCCGAGCTTGGCTGGCATTTTATGGTCAGGCCGAGGTGTCACTAGTCTCATTCAGGAGTTATGCCTCTTCTATGTCCCACAATCGACCAATCAGATTCCACCTCTCATTCGACTTATATGTAATTAAATAAGAAGGATCCCCGACAGGACGATTACATGAAGTACAGGAACACTTGAACAGCTTAACTAAGAACATGTTAAACGAGAAGTTTGAAGGTTCACGTGCTCTGCAAGTTGTTCTGCGACAGAAATGTACATTGTAGTCGCCGCGTTGTTAAGAACAGGGTGTGGTTGAGATTCGTACCATTCATTTGATTTTTTAAAATATTTTAACTCTGAAATCCCGGAAAGATCTATTTCGTCAGACTGAAAAGTTAAAGTCGTGTCAAACAAAAGGTTTAGATTGCCTATTTTGTAATTCGTCAAAGAACCTTTGAAGCTGTGACATGTTGACATGTGTCAACCAAGTCCGCGAGTCTGACGACCCGATCCCGTTCGTCGCCTCTTACGGAAGACCAATTCTAACCCGGATCTTCACGGGTATCCTGACAGTATTAGTACACCATAGCTCACTAATGGGTATTACTTATTTTTAGTCAAGAGAGTAATTACGTAACATTTGCAGCTGTGAAAAATGTAACAACATGTTTTCTACTCTGTGCACGTAGCATTCGGGATTGACTGAAAATATAGTTTTGCAGATATCTCAAATGCATTTCAAGATATTCCAATTCCATATTCAGATTCCTTAAACAAGTGAAATTTGACATGATTCCAATTCAAATCCAGATTTTCGAGTCTTTTTGTTTTTTGCACAAATTTAAAAAACTGTTAAAAATATAATTAATTGTATGCCCTATTTTGAAATAAAATTCAGATTTGCTTCTTCATGTTCATGCAACTCTCATGAGTACACACAAACACTTTTATTAGCAAACCGAATTGGTGCATTTGAAGGGGTTTTGACCTGAGTTGACTGAACATAGACACGTGTAATTGAATCTGGATACCGAAATGATGGAGAGAATGGACACATTCGTTTTTAAAGACACCTTGACGATGACGAATCTACGGCGATGAACGATAAAAGAATCATGTGACCATTAACACATGAAGTGTATTCTCTGGACAATTCCTGTCAGTTAAGCAGTCTCCCGTCTCTACATGACAAGAGTTACTCTTGAAGCCATGCTATTATCAGTATTGACATATTGAACATGGAAGTGTTTTGAGTTACTTTTCTTGAAGTTTCTTCCTTACAGATGAGTGTATCCATGGCGACCAGACTGGCGTCAACTGCGCTGTAGTTCCAAACCTACCCTACTATTGCTATTACTCCAATGTTGAATTGTGGTGTTGCCAGTCATGTAAGGACATCAAAGGTTCCGATGAAGGTAAGGCATTACAGTGAGTGAGCGAGTGAGCGAGTGAGCATAGTTTGACGCTGCTGTTAGCTATATTTCAGCAATATCACGCTGGGATACACCATAAATAGCATTCACACACTGTACTCACGTGGGGAATCGAATCCGGGTCTTCGACAAGAGAGCGAACGTTTTAACCATTAGGCTACCCCACGTGCCCAGAATACTTGAGAAGACGAACATAAAAACAACCCACTGGACCAAAGTTAAAATGTAATATGGGGAATCGAACCCGGGTCTTTGGCGTGACACGCGAACGCTTGAACAACTTGGCTACCACACCGCCTTTACAGAAAATGAATTGAATGTAGCGCTGCTTTGAACATCATTTTATCATTTTATCACGGCGTGTCCTCATGGCGTGGGAAGATGGGCACCTTGACGAAAAGTAAAATATTGAACGTTGTACAAGACAGACAGACAGACAGATGATTTTATTTGTATGGATGGCCATGAGGCCAACAGTACATCAACATTCATAATAGTAAAGAGTCCGGGGGCGCCTGGACATTGATTCACATATGAACTGTATGTGATGGTACTTTTGTACAATAAACGTACTAGTATATTAGCTGATTTTGAATTCAGAAGAGTTACAAACTTGCGATAGTTGGGGTTGGTGTAGTAATAACATGGTAGATATTTTTTCCGTAGATCGTTGTACAATGGACATTCTAGTAATACATGATATTCATTTTCTAATTTATTAAGGCAATGTGGACACATGGCAATTGCGATATCTGCACTTTTCGATCTTCTGTATAATTGTATGTTAAAACCACAATACCACATCGAAATTTTGTCAGTGCTCTACGCAAATGAGCCGAGGGCAAGACTCGTAGGTAAGTTTCCGTCATTATGTCAAGTTTATAGGTTGAATATGGTGGTAAATATTTGGAAGCAGTCACGGTAGCTGACCACTCTTGATAATAAATATCTTTACATCTTTGTTTGAATATACACATGAACATTTCTTTATTACCTACATCTTGGTTGTACAAGCTATGATAATGAAAGCTAATTCGTAACTCAAACTCGATCTGCAGCTCCTTACCATGGTAAGGGACGCAACTCGTAATATGATATGACACTACCTTATACCAATGGAAAACGTATTCTGAAAGTGTTTAATATTTATGAATTAATAAGCAACCTTATAATTTAAGAATGTGCTCAGAAAGTTCTACCTTTTAACTGAATATTTAAGTGAATGTACCTGATGAGAGTTCATTTTCTATTGAGAAATTGATTTAATTCTGTTGCACAGTTAGAATTTGGAACAATGCTGAGAAAATAAATTTCCTCAATTCAACGCGGTATCATGAACGGATCTATGACACCATGGCCGGAGGGATTGTCCATTACAATGTCTTTCTTTTCGTTTTTTCAGGTTGTCAGTTTGGTGATGACGAGTATGCTGAGCCCAGTTGTCAGTACAGCTCCTGCAACACCACCAGCGACTCCAACTTTGTCGACAACTGTTGTAATACATGCAGAGATTTTCGACCCACGACGGCGGTGACAATGACAACAGAACTGACCACAACGTCATCGGAACCTACGACAACCATTGAAACAACATCAGCAGTCTCAACCATGACGACTACATCGGCACCAGCTGCTTCAACAATAATGACAACGACGCTAGCAGCTACAACCTTGATGACGACACCAGCAGCTACAACAAAGACGACTACGACACCTGCAGCAACAACCATAACTACATCAACTCCAGCAGCTGCCACCATGATGACAAACACACAAGCAGCTACAACCAGGATGACGACGCCTGCAGTTACAACCAGGATGACCGCACCAACTACGACAGCTACAACCATTGCGACTACGACATCAGCAGCTGCACGTATGACTACATCAACTGCAGCACGTACAACCACGATGACTACACCAGCAGATACAACCGTAACGACTAAGAACCCAGCATCTACAAGCATTATGACCACTACAACAACGGAGACTACAACCATGATGACTACAACGACATCAATTGCTACAACCATGACGACTACACCAGCAGCTACAACCATGATGACTACGACACCTGCAGGTACAGCCATGACAACTACACCTGCAGGTACAACCATGATGACTACAACATCTGCAGCTACAACCATGACGTCAACACCTGCAGCTACAACCATGACGACTACACCTGCAGCTACAACCACGATGACTACAACGGCACATGCAGCTACAACCATTACTACATCAACGCCATCATCTGCAACCATTACAACGACACAGACAACTACAACCAGCATGACCACGCCTGCAGCTACAACCACAACGACTACAACAACACCAACAGCTACAACCACTATGACCACACAAACTACTGCATCTACAACCATAAAGACTACAACGACACAAACAGCTACAAACGAGATGACAACAACTGCAGCTACAACCACGATGAGTACAACGACACAAGCAGCTACAACCACAACTACATCGTCGCCAGATCCAGAGTACGACCGAAGTACAATCGTCGACGATATAACAACATCCCTAATGACAGAAACATCCTCTCTCCTGCCTCCATCGGCCACGACCAAAGATAACCAGGAAAAATCGTTCGGCACATCCTCGCCTAGTCCCGAGAAGACAACTCTTGAAAAGACTTTCTCCAATCTTCCTTCAACCTCAGGTAACGTTTTAAATATTGGGGTCGTGGGTTAGCCTAGTGGTTAAAACGTTCCCTCGTCACGCCGAAGACCCGGGTTCGATTCCCAACATGGGTCCAATATGTGAAGCCCATTTCTGGTGTCCCCGCCATGATATTGCTGGAATATTGCTAAAAACTCACTCACTATGAATAGTTCAGTTCATCGAAGATGTCGATGGTGTTGAAACCTGGATATATATTTCCAACTCAGGGCGGTGCAGGCAAATTAAATTTCTGTTGTGTTGTTTCAACTTAAACTGTTTTGTGTCAGCTCTTGCCTTAACATCCGGACAAAACCCAAACGGCCAGATAATGGGCGTTGAATACTTATCACGATAACGTTTTATACCACACAAACAAACCCCTGGCCATTGGATTCATTTTGCTTGTATTACAATGCATTTCAGACGAGATGAAGATGGCGATTGGGCTTGGTGTCGGCCTGGGCGTGGTTGGACTTATAGTAGTGGGTGTGGCTGTGTATCGGCTCTGTCTGGTTGGACGGGCTAACTCTGCGGCCATTTCAACTCCGGAATGGACATCACTATCGCGTATTTAATACAACATGTTTACGTTAGGACAAGGTCTCAAGACTCCAGAGCTAAGAGCCGATTGGCAAAAGCTCAAAGAATTGTCCAGCGAAAAATATTTTGCAAATGTGTTTGACCTATCGCTTGTCGCTGAACTATTGCATTTGACGGTTAAAATGTCGTTTAAGAAAGTATTTGGTCATTTAAATTCATTATCATTATTTATTAAGAGATGGGCTCTCACTTCCTCGGAATGTTCCCGTGACTATAAATTGGAACAGAAAGGGCTAAACTGCTGTGAAGGCTTGTCTCACCTGCTGCGAGCAATTTCTTTTCATGCAACGTATATTGCAATGTAATGTATGCAATGAATAATTCATGTAACAGACGTGCAGCCCAAGCCCGTCCCAATTCGTATACCTTAGACCTCCTCCGAGGTGTAGTGGTTAGAGCGTCCGTCCAGTGAGCGAAAAGTCGCCGGTTCGATCCTCGGCCGCGTCAACCAAAAGACGTTAAAATATATTCATGGTTGGTCCCTACCTGGCGCTCAACATTAATGGGTACAACAAGTACTGGTATCTCAGTGAGCTAGCACTATAAGCCAGCTTACGTCTGGGATAGTACAAGCAGCCACACATACACACGCATGCACGTTGTCATGATATTCTGAAGTACGCCGTCAAACCTTATTTCACTTCACCTCACGTCACCTCACCTCACCTCGTATACCCTAACACATTACAAAACCAAAACATACATCAACCACACATACAAAAACAAAAGAAAAACATTTATCAATAACAGCAATAAGAACACAACAGAAAGAAACACAATATAAAAAACCCCAGAAAAACATAATTAAAAACCAAGAAAAAAATCTACACCCAAATAACAACAGTACTATATATGATATCACCCAGTTATCGGTCCGGTAGGCGCCCCAGAAAACTGTGGTCTGGAATAAGAAAGTACAGTAATATTACTGAGGCTTTCATTCTACGTTTTCATAAACCTATCTCACACTTCGTCTATAGTTATTAAATAGTTTGCTTCCAGAATACGAAAATCTGTTGTGGCTTTACGGCGAAAATCTCAAGTCAACGTATTGAAACCTGATAAGATTAAAGTAATGAACATTTGAAAAGCTTGGTTGTGATGAAAGCCTTTGATTAGGTGTTTTTTTACAACTAGGGTCAACTTGGCTTTGAAATGACAATTGTAAAACCTCGCCACCAAAAACCACTTTTAGGTCAGAACAAATTAGCAATAGTTGAGCCTTGTAGAAAGAATAACCAAAAACATACTAGGAAAATTGTATTATGGCATTGTTTTATATGAAATTGATACTCAAGAAAACCTTTCGCGCTGTCACAAGAGTTGACTCGGTGTTCTAATTTCGATCAATTTAGGGTCCTCACTCTGTCCACTATCCTGTTGATCACTGGATTATCTGACCTAGACTCCATTACTTACTTACTTCCGCCATATAGCAGGAATTATGCTGAGTGCGACGTTAAATAACCAACTAACCAACCAACCAACCAACCTCCGTTTCGGATACTTAACCTAAATCATGTACACTTCAGCCTTCTGTGCATCGCCCGACCGCATGTAATCAGGCGCAATATCACTTCTAGGAAAGAAATACTTATTTAGTAGATATGTAAATATATTGACCTAGAATTCTTGTCACCAAAATATAACAGTCACAAGAAAAACTAGAAAGAGGGAGGCCGACTAATTACCCCGTGAACAATTGATATATCTTGACAAAACAACATCACGGTGATGTATAATAATATATCGTCCTAAACATTGCTCAGGGCCTATCCTATAAACGAAGATTCATATACCCAAACTGCCACACACACACATGCACACCACACACCCTCCAACCTATCCAACCAAGTTGATGCTGGACCTGTTGTCTAAATTCGAGTACATTTAGATCTGTACTTTTCAAGTTGTTGGTTGAGATAAACTTTTAAAGTTTATTTTTAAATTGCTGTATTTCTTACGAAATTTGAAATATCACAATAAAAAATTGCATTACGCCTGTCCTGTAGACTAAGAAGGTGGCCCCCCAAATTGCAAACAATCCAACCACTTGTTATTGGTTGAACGAAAATGAACAGTGTTTTGGGTCATCCACATAAATTTATACTGATGTGCCAACTAGTATAGGCAGTGATTCCCTTCAAGAACTGAAAGCTCTGGCAAAACTTCATGGTTACCGTTCGTTAAGTGAAATCGTTGGCTTGCCAACGTGGTGAAATAAACGCCAACCCATGGTAACGCATCCCTGAACAGAGCAGTGTTAAAACAACTACATTGATTTCCTAAACTAAGGGGCAGAACTAAGTATTTCTTGTGTAATTGAAATTTGAAAGAACATGTTGTTGAATTTGACTATGTCTAATATAAATATTTATTTATGTTTTTTTTACTATTTAATTTTGTCATGGTACAGGCAAACATGTATAGAGTGAGTGAGTGAGTTGGGTTTTACGCCGCTTCTATAAACATGTATAGAAAAGTTTCATAATAATACAATGGTATATGTATGCATGTATAAAAATGTACACTTGGCAGGATTATTTTCCAAGTCATAAATGTAAAGTTGACCAATATTGATTGGTAAACATATCTTGTCAGATAATAGTAAGGGACAATTTCATTTTTTAAATGTTCTTACTTTGGTCTGAAACCATTTTTGCAGCAGTTCCTGTCAAAAGAAACCTCTGGCTTCCTATTTTCTTTTATAAAAATGCATTGGGTCAATAAGTGAATGACTAGGTATGATTTTTTTTGCCGCTTTTCTTGTAACTTACCAGCAATATCACGACAGTGGACATCAGAAAAGATCTGCACACATTGTAGGGAATCCAGCCGGTTTTCGGCGTGATGAGTCAACCCTTTGACCACATGCCCACAGCACCGCCCCTGTTTCAATGAGGACTGGAGATATGTAAAGAAACTGTGCAACAAAAACTGGCTGGGAAATTTTTTTCCCGCAAACACACGACCCAACCATGTTGCAACCGTTGCAAATCTGTGTGGAAAATCTGCTGATTTTCAAAGATCAAATGTTTAAGTTGCCAACTTAGCAGGTGTGAATTATGCGAATAATCTCCAACGATATTTTCAGCTAAAGATGAAACATGACGAAATCCACTGAGAAGTAGTATAATTTGATCCTCAGTATAATACATGCACCGTGACCACTGGATTAATGTTACATTATTTACTAATAACCCATTCTTCTTCCTGGTAATATTTTTAGTCTGCTATAAATCAAACGTTTTCGCTCACTTACCATCTCATTGAACTTGGCCAAACTCTGAAGAATATGTCTAAAGCATGACGAATTTATCAGGTTGTTTTCTTTCAGATACCTTGAAGCTTGGACTTGGAATAGGAATAGGGGTAACGTCTGTCGTTTTACTATCTCTTGGGACACTGTTGTGTCACTTCAACAACAGTAAGAAAATAGGTAGTCACAACATAAATGAACCTCTGAAAGAATCCTCCTTCTAATAGTTTGCAGCTTTACGACGTTACAAGTTCGCCAACGTGCATGCATTGCTTCGTAAAAGACCATGGACCAATGTTCAAAACAATGAAATTTGCTGTACGCAGTTGGGTCCCTTATTTGAGCCTTGTTACGCCTGTTGTCCCAGATCCGCCCTGAAATGATTTAGTACAAAATGTCCAACGCTTTGTTCCAGCATTATGTTAATAGGTCGTGATGTAACACGCTAAAATGCAATGAAGACACTCACTCACTTTTTTCCTCCTTCACTCCCTCATTCACCTGCACCTTCAAATTACGCTAAAAAATCAAGACACTTTGTTCAAATCGATTTGACATTTTGCTTTTACCAAGATTTTACGATGTACATTATAGTACTGAAGGTGTGTTGCTGAGTAAACCGTCGCGGTCATGTTCAAACCGTTATGCTTAAGTTTAAATGATATATATGAACACACGTAAATGTAAAGTAAACCGACCAATGTACACACTTACCAAATGGATGCAGCCCATATGAAAAGGTTACTAGGCTGAAAACATTTCAAACTAAAGACCAAACCATAACTGTGACAACCATATTAAATACATCATGATCGGATATCCATTTTGTGGTGTTTCTCTCAGCCACTAGCTAACACCAGCTGTGTCCTGTTCCCCGATATTTTATAGGTTAAGTTAACAGTTCAAGTACAATGGAAGACATATATATATTTCATTCCTAAAGGTTAAAGGTTTAATATGCTTTGATTGCACAAGGTGGAACCTGTTTCTTGATGACAATGATAGTATTGCTGAAGCTGTTGATGCAATTACCGATAACATAACATTTTTGTATGGACAGTGTCATCCCCGAAAAAGCAAGCCCTGGGTGTCAAAGGAGCTAAAACATTTGTTGAATGAAAAAAAATATGCTTTGAAAACCAAGGTAATTCGAAGTTACGAAGTGTCCAAAAAGACTGAATATTTTAGTACAAAAGAATAAGGATGTGGATTTTCAAAGTGGATACATATCTAGGATAGAGGCTTTGGTCGGAGGAAGTCGCCAAGAAATCAATGCTGCAGATGAAAGATCATATGCGGAGCCCTTGAACTCCACACACTCCTTCTACGCTAGATTCGACAACTAATCTTCATTTGACCTGAATAACACCGTGAAATCCATTCTTCGCGCTAACATATTATGGACAATGTAATGGACGAGCTCTTACAGAATGTACACTGTAGGATAAACGTAACTTATTCGAACAATCTATTAATTCACACCTTATCTCCAAAACATGGGAACCGTCTCAGATGATTCCAGGGCCGAAAGTCCAACGACCCATAGAACCCAATGACTACCGACCGGCTGCTTTAGCATCTGTTATTATATGTGTAAGTGTCTGGAAAGGATCATCTGTCGCCGTCTCCAGCAGGAAGTAAGACACTTTCTCGACCAACTGCAATTCGCATATAAAGCAAAAGTATAGAAGATGCTGCAATGACATCAACAAATACTATAGGTAAATGTCTGGAGTTATCAAAGACGTATATATGTACGTATCCTATTCGTCTATTCGTAGAATTAGCTCGCCTTTTCACACAATCCAACCCCAACCGATGCTCGCAAAACTCGTATTCTGCACGCCAAACGTAACATA